ATATATACTTGTAAGAAGATCACTGTAGAGGATATATCGAGTAACATTTCATAGACAAGTAGGGATGATTCGTTTATTCGAACTGCACAGTTTACGTAATGTTCAAAGTCGTAAGAGACTCGTTCGCGCATTTTATTCATCGCGAATACAAGAAATAGTGAAAATAACGGTCCATGAATTGGACAAGTTTCCGACGAGTTGTGCAAACTTTCTTTCTTTTACGTCTGATCACAGATCAAATTCTAGCTGGTCCTCCTCTTAAGGCGACGATTTGAATCTCCCGCGCAGACGAGACCGTCTAAACCACTTTCCCAGCCGATACTTTGTACGTTCCTTTTCCAGAGGAGTCGAGATTCGCTGCGCTGCTGCTGTAGACACCTTTTGCATTACCCACGCTGCCGCTTTTATCCACTCCCTCGTCGATGTCACCCGAGCGGGAGAAGATACTATTCGACGACATTTACAAAAATTGAATTAATTTCTTTGTTGAGAATCATTACGTTAGATAATTTGCAATACACTCAGTCGAATGTGCCGAAAATGTAGAAAAAAAATATATATATATAGCTCGAGGCTTCTCGATATTCACGAGTTGACGAGTTTCTTCTATCTTTGAAGAAAAATTATTACTAAATACTAAATTACTACGTTCTACTAATCTAAATTACTAAATTCAACCTACTCGACTCCATGTCCACCGAGACCACCGAATCCTCCTCCTCCAGGGCCGGAGGCAGCGTTTGCGTTTGCACTAGCAGATGCAAACGCATTTGAACCAGCAAGAGCGTTTGCGTTCGCGTTAGCACTTGCGAAAGCATTGGCATTGGCATTGGCATTGGCATTGGCATTGGCGCTGGCACTGGCGCTGGAGCTAGCGCCTGATCCTCCGTAACCACCGTAACCACCTTTGCCACCTGCTCCACCAGCACCACCTCCGCCACCTGGTCCACCGTATCCACCAGCTCCACCTCCAGATCCTGCACCCCCGTATCCACCAGCTCCAGCTTTCCCACCTGCGCTACCGTATCCACCAGCTCCACCTCCGGTTCCTGC